GGCGGACCAGCGCACATGCGCAGTCTGCTTAGTGACGGCCGTCCCCGGCAGGCTGGCATCATGGCCTCGGCTCCTCCACACACACTGGCCCAGGGGAGGATGGGACGGTACTCACGAGCAGGACCGTGCCAGCTGGCAAAGGCCGCAGGCGGGCTTCCGCATCAGGTACATGGGCCACCCGTAGGCAGCCAGCGCAAACAGCATGTAGTAGCAGACCTCTTTGTAGCGAAGCATCTCTTGCTGGAAGGGAGGAGTCAGAGGGCGGTCACCTCCTGCCCTCAGGGCTCGTGGGCCCCCACAGGCCGCAGATGCCACCCCATCCTGGGGGAGGGACCGCTCCTCCAGATGATAATTGCATTTCCCTAATTATCTCCCTGTAACCAGGGCATGTATCCTCCTGAGACCTGTCCTGTTGCTCTGGTCTCAGAATTAACGATTTGGGGCCAGAAAAACACTGAGAGTCCTGGATCGATGTCCTTGCCCGGTTTCCCAACAAGGGAAGAGATGGGGGCACAAGTGGCCATCACCCCGCCTTGGCAATCAGGCCCTGGGAAGGGACACTTCACCCTGAGAGGCCCAGGGCCCTGCAGCTGGGGTGTCCAGGCCTTGACAAGCAGGCCAGCCCTAGAGACATGGCCAAGCTGGGTGAGCAGGTCCTTGGGTTCTTTGTCCGCAAATTCGGGGAGACTGCAGCCTGACACACTGAGTCACTGGCTGGCAGGGGTGTCTGGGCAGATTGGGATCTCTCTAAGGAAAGGCGCCAGTTAGAAGCCCAGTGTCTGAGGCCACAGGCTGTTGCTATCAGCCTGCAGGGCTGGAGGGAGGGAGGAACAGGTGTCCCAGCAAAGCCTTTCAGTGTCCTGGTACCCCAGGCACTGGAGGGCTCCTGCACTTACAGGGAATTAATCACCTTGTAAAAGTTAAGGAGGGTGATTAGTCATCTTGTAAAGTGAAAAAGGTAGCGCCTTAATCAGGGCCCAGAGGCGTGGAAGCCTGGCCGCTCTGTCTGCTCTTCAGGAAGGAGCTGGAGAAGATAATTATCCCTCTGAGCTCCCGGCTGTAGGGCGGGGCGCTGGCAGCCTCTGCCAGGTGGCAGGCGGGGGACCCAGCACCTCTGCGCAGCAGCCTGTCCCTGCCCCTCCCCCTCCGTGGTGAGAGCACCTGCCATAGACCAGCTGTTTCAGAAGGGGACACAAAGGCCTGCTTTGGGAGCGGGGGGAAGATGGAGGCCTGAGGCGATCCCAGGAGACCGAGACCCGAAGACGAACCCTTTCTAGCAGCCCAGACTGGTACCACTGCGTCTGGTGCCACACCGGGAACTGGACTCAGAATGGCCCATTTCCTCCCCACCAGAGCTCTGCGTGGAAGGGGTGTCCAGTGCCATCCACACAGGCAGCAACAGGCTCAGGGCGGGGTTAGGGACTTGCTCAAGGTCACAGTGACAGCACGGAGCTGATGCACACCCAGATCGGTTTGTTCCTGAGGCAGGGTGGGCTGCAGTTTCAGCCAGGGTGACAGGGGACCGGCTCCACGTTCCCCCGTGACACGCACACTGGATTTCTACTGAAGGCGCTGGGGGTGAGGTTCTGCACCTCAGAAAGGCTTGGGAACCGAAGCGCTATGTCCCACTGCCATGCACGACGACAGTCCCAAAGGCAGCAGTGACAGTAGTGACAGCAGTGACAGCTCACCCTGGGGAAGCACTTTATAACCTCCAGAGGCCAGGACCAAACATCCCGAGTGTGGTCAAACAGATTCAGGGGGTTCGTCTGTAGACCCGGAGTGGTGGTGGGGTTCTCGGGAGGAAGGGGGTGCAGCCCGAGAAGAGGGACTGTCTGGAGAGCTGCGGGGGACTCACGGTGCAGCAGGGAGTTTGCTCAGGTCATTCCAGCAGGACAGAGGGACCGGGGACGGGGCGGGGTGGGGGCGGTGCTGACTTACCGAGTTCTTGAGGTCGAGGTACTTGGTGTTTCTCGTCACTGGCATCCCCGACAAAAAGGCCAAGATGTCGTTGTTGGCCTGTAAAACAGGCGTGTGAGGGTGGCCGCCGCAGGCCTAGCTGCATGGCTGGGAAAGGGGGTCTGGGCACCCAGCTCTGCACCCCGCCTGCTTCACGAGGGCCTGCGAGCCCAAAGGAGCAAGTGGCGTCTGGCTCTCCGTGACCCAGGCAGTTTCCCAAAAGCCAAGATCTCCTCTTATTTCGAGTTGCTCCCCTTCCACTCGGAGCATCACCCCAGGAAGCTCCTAGCCCAGGCCTCGTTCGGGGTGGGGGTTGGGAATGCATCTTGCAGAAGACACTGGGACACCCAGGCTGGGACTGGTGTGTGGGCGGGGCTGGGGAGGAGAGGGATGGAGGGGCAAGTGCCCGAGGCTGAAGCCCGAGCTGTGGCATTCATGAGCCCCTGTGCTTAGAAGTCTCTTGCAGCAGCCCGGGAAGCAGGCAACGTGGCCCAGCAGATGGAAGTCACTCAAGTAAGAGCCACAGTGGTGGCTGCAGAAATAGGGGCAGAGCGAACATCAAGGGGAGACCTCCAGGGACCCAGGAGGGTGTGTGGAATCCCGGGAGCCGGGAGCAGCAGCAGCAGCAGCAGCAGGGGCGGCAGCCAGAGGCCTGGGCAGAGGGGGTTGCAGGGAGGCCGCCTGGAGGAGGGCCGGGCGCCCACCTCGTCCAGCACGGCGTTGCGCTTGGCTCGCTGTCGCTGCCGGAGCAGCACCAGGCCAGCGATGATGTCAGACGGCACGATGTCCAGGTCCCGGAAAAACTCGGCGAAGAGGTAGGCGATTTCCGAGTAGGCGTCCTACGAGGTCCAGGGAGGCGGGAGGCAGTGGGGGGCAGCGGAAGAGAGGACGAGAGACCGGGCGTGAATCCCCAGGGGCTGGGTGTCTGCTCTGGGCCCAGAGGCACCCTGGCCCGACCCCCTGCGGCCCTCTGCAGCGTGAGCCTGAGGGCCTTTGTCCTTGGGTCCTGGGCCCTGCAGACCTGGCAGGAGCTGTCGCAGCCACTGACCCTTCTCCATGTCCACCTCCCGGCCCTCCTCTGTCCTCGGAGCTCCTAGGGCACTCACCGTCTAGCACGCACAGATGCCAAGTGGAGCCATTTCCTGCTCTTTCCCCAGACACTAGGAATGGCATCAAGGCCTGCTCAGCCCGCTGGTCTCTTCTCCGGCCTTTCTCTCTAACAGAGAAGCCAAAACTAAGCTCCTGGCTGCCTCCTCCTCCCTCTGAATCTCTTCCCACCTCCTGCCCACAGTCGCGGGCTCAGAAACCCCCACCATGTGCCTGGAGAAGGCTGTGATGCTGGGCCAGGGGCCCCTCTGGCTTCCCTGCAAACCCTGTCCTGTGCTCTGAGTCCTCCCTGCCTCATGCAGAGCTGGAGTCTGGACCCTGGTCCCTAACCTGTTAGCAGGGGCTGTGGTGGGAACAAACTCATGGCAACTCATCCTCTTGCTGGGTTTCACCCTTGAGTGTGTCTGGCACTTGTGAAGAGAGGAAAAATCGCGGATTGCAAACTCAAATGACTAATGGGGCCAAACAGAGCCAGCCACTACTCAGTTCCAGCTGACCGGGCTTGTGAGGGACTGAAGATGCCAGACGCAGAAATTTGGAAGTTTACATGAATGCCCCTGATTTTTAAATGTTGGCATCCAATTCGAGTTTTTAAGCAACACAGGAAAGGCTGAACAAAACGTACTCTGGACTTGACCTGACCCCTGCCCGCCCCTGCCCCCCAACCCGAGATGTTCTGCCTTTCACCAGGCTCCGACACCAGCCCCAACTCTTCTGAGCCCCCAGAAGGGGTGGGCATGCTCTCCACGGGCCCTGGCAGGCCTAGCGCCCCGTCAGCCTGGGGACTGCTCCCTGCCCTCTGCATGGCCTGCCTGAGGACCAGGCCCTGGGCCGTGACCCCTCAGACCCTCTCGGCCTGTGGGGGTGCTCCCCACCCACCAGGGATCCTTTCGGGGGGCTTTCTCGCACTTGATCACTCACTCTACAGCTCACCAGGAGCCGCCGGTGGGAAGAAGCCACTCGAAACTTCCGGTGTCTTCCATGAAAGGCTCAGGGAGCCTTGCTCCCTTGCTCCCTGGCTCAGGGAGGAGTGCCTTTTTGACCTCACTGACTCTGCCACTAACTAGCTGTGCGGCACTGAGCAAGTCACCCCACCTCTCTGGGCCTCAGCGGCCAGATCTGCAAAATGAGGGATGGGACTAGATGATCTCTAAGGGTCCTGCCAGTGCTGGGAGCTCACCTCCAGGACCCCGAGGGCCCTCCCCTCCTCCAAAGGGCCACCCATGGCCGACCCCTCTCTCCTGCGGCCCCCTGGGACCGCAGAGTCCGGTCCTCTGGTTATTCCTCAGGGCACCGGTATGGAAGGACCACACAAAGCACTTTACAGCCCCGCTTGATCTTCCAGAGTAACTTACAGCTGGTGATACGCTGCTTTTCCTTGCCTTGGCCCTGATTTTTGAGTATCCCTTCTCCTAAACTAGACTTCGAGTTCCAAGGGGGTCATTGAAAGGTCTTCAAATCTTTCTGTTCCCTTGACAAAGCAAGGGGTCATCATATGCTAGAGGGAATCGGTCAGTGAATAACAGGTCCTCCTATGAGTCGGCTGTCACCTGGCTCCTGCTCAAAACCCAGCTCCCTCCTAGCAGCCCTGCCCGCCCGGCTCTGCCAAGGAGCGAAGGGTCCCGAGTTGTTGACAGAGGGATGTGAGCCCGAGGGACGCGACCTCCTGGCACTCACTGACTGCGAGTCCTTTGTCCGGGTGCAGCAGAGAAACACCTTGAGCCGGCGTGACCAGCTGGTGGCCTGACCCTCCTCCAAGCGATGCCTGAAAAGGGAAGAGTTGGTAAGTGTGAGGTCACACGGCTGGACCAGAAGAGCCAGGACCAGACATTATGGAAACAGGGCGGCCTGTTCCCAGGACCCCACCAAAGGGCTCCCTGATGGGAGGTCCAGGGGAGAACAGAGCCAGCCAAAGCTGGGTGGCCAGTGACCTGGTTGCCAAGACCAGGACCCAGGCACCCAGCTTTTGCAGACTGAACACCAGCGTGCCCTGGGGGCTTCAGAGCTGGGAGCCCAAAGATGCTCGGTGGCTCAGCATTCCAAGGGCTCCAACCAAGAGCCCTTCGTGGCTGCAGGGTCCCGGGCCTTCTCTGCCAACTTGTTCCAAGGCCTGGGGCAAACCTGCCACACAGAGCTGCTTCCCCTCAAAAGGACTTCAGATACTCCAGATACTCACATTCTCTGTACCCAGGGGAAGTTTAAGGCTCAAGGAGGCTCTGGTTTTGCCAGCTCTTGGATCTGTCACATTAGAGGGGAGGGGGTCCCCAGCTTCATCTGTATGGCTGGGCCCTGGCCATTCCCACCCCCACACCCAGCCCCTGTGAGTCTGGCTGTTCTGATGGGGAGTCAGGTATCCAGGAGTCTGCACCCCAAGGCTGAGCAATTGGCCAGTTATCCATGGAGGCCCTTCCGATGCTGGGTGCCCAGAAGTTGGTGTGTTTTGGACATCAAGATAACAGCTCAAACATTAAAAATGTTCATTTCCAGACTGAGCAGAAGGGGCTGGCGTGGTTTCGTGACACGTGCCCTCCTGCTAGCCCCGTCAGAGCCTGAGGTGGGGTGGTCAGGAGGGGAAGCCATGGGTGGCCCTGAACGCATGCAAGGCACTTAGCGTCCATCAGGGGTGACGGGCCGGGCCCTCCTTCCCGAGCCTCTTGGTAAAGGTCGCTTTCTGCTCCCAACCCTGGTTCCACAAGGCCAGGGAAGGACACAGGAAAGGGCGGAAGGGTACTGCTGCTTCTGGGACCTGCTGCCCTAAGGGACTTGGGCAGGCTTACGTCCTAAGCCATAGTCCCACCTGCTGGGGGCTTGATGAAGTGATAGCATGCTGGCCAAGCTGGGCTCCCAGAACATCATGGTTTTTTTTTAACCCTTTCTAACCTAATGGGGTTTTCAAATGTTCAAAGAGAATTTCCCACTGGGCCGCTGGCCTGATGGACGGGCAGACTGTATACAGTACTGAAGTACCCACTGTGCCCACCAGGGGGCAGATGGAGACAGTAACAGGTTTGGCCTAAAGCTTAAGTTAGGTCACCGAGACGAGACCAAAACGGAGAGAAATAGTAAATCTGGACAGAAAAAGTTCACAGAGTCAGCACCCCTCTGCCGTGGGGCTCACTGAGGGAGGGCAGACACTCCTTCTGCAAAGATCCATGTCAAGACTCTCAGGGAGTAGTGCTGGGAATAACCCACACCTTCCAACCCCCACCAGATGTCACTGGAAGGAGAAACGGGCCAAGGACTTAAACAGCTTCCTGATTTCTAGAAACTAAATGAGCCTGTCAGTGAGACACAGCACGGCTTGTGTGCATCCCCAAACCTGGAAGTGGATGAAGGGTCGGCTGACTTGAAAATGTCCTTGTTAGAAAAACTGTCTGTGGGTTTCAAGTGGAGGGAGGGTGAGTAGAGAAGGGCCGTCGACGGGGTCACACTAATGGAGCCGTGGCCGCGCAGCCCTCGCGAGCCCCGCCCTGCAGCTGGAGAAACCGTAACAGGTCAGGACCTGTGAGCTCTGAGGCCTCTTACTCACCCACATAGGCCCGGAAATCACAGGAAGACTTTCTAATTAAAATGACAGCCACTGCCAACCCTCAGCTGCAAAGGCGTTGGTTGCCCTGGGCCCCAAAGGCAATTACTCAGAGTCAGGGAGGGGAGATTTTTTTCCCCCAGGGTCCCAGGAGCCCAGAAACCAGGTCAGGTGGGGGCCCGTGCTCAGAGTGAGCCAAATGGGACGGGTGGTTGCAGCCAGCTGTGCCGGGAGGAAGAATGGGCTCCCAGGCTTTGGCTCCAAGACCTGGCATTTTAGGCTGGGAGGTGGCCAGCCCAGGCGTGGGTGTGGCTCTGGCCACAGTGAGGAGCTGACGTGGAGGGCCTGAGCAGACCGG